TAATGATGCCATTAATTTTTCACGAATTCTTAATTATCTCCCCTTGGAAGAGATTTGAACAAACTTGAATCCCCTTTACCCAAGGATACTTTGTGGCAAGTTTGGTTGAAATTGCCCCATTGGTTCTGGAGAAGAAGTCGAAAATGTGAAAAGTTTACAGACGGACAGACGGACGAACAGACGGACAGAGGGACTACAGACAAAATGTGATCAGAAAAGCTCACTTGAGCCTTCGGCTCAGGTGAGCTAAAAACAGAGAAAGATTGAAATAGTCTGGTCCTGATTTTTAAATAGAAGGCTAGAAATAAGTTTTAACGGCAAATGATTATTATTTGGTCCAGCATAGTTTTTTAACCTATTTCGAGTATGCTGAATCCGAAGAAATATGCTGGCCTTCATGAAAATGGCGTGAGAAAGGTCAAAATGGCGATTCAAAATGGCGGACATCCAATTTTTCTAATTTTCTCTCAATGTCTTTCAAATAGGAGAAAGAATGTGTGAATATCTCACTGAGTGTAATGCAACTATAAAAATGATAAAAGAATGCTAACGTTGTTACTTTAATTCAAAAAATTTAGTCGTTTCTACACTTAATTCGAATTTTCTCTGATTTATTTGTCTATTGTTTCTATATTCTGCTTTGTTCAGAATTTTACATTTGCAAATATCCATACACTGCAGATTGGTATTTTTTCCTTTGCATCTCACTATTCTACAACTGAATGATGGTGCAGCTGTAATTTATTAGTCAAAATGGCGATTCAAAATGGTGAATATCCATTTTTTCTGATTATTTCTTAATGTCGTTCAAATAGGACAATCTATGTGTTAATATCTTATTGAGCGTAATGCAATTATGAAAATGATAATAGAGCACTAATATTATCACTTTAATTCGGAAAATTTAGTCGTTTAAATTTGAAAGTTGTGTTAATTAGCTCAAAATGGCGATTCCAAATGGCGAATGCTAGTAATACATAAAATACTCAAACTGCTTAGTTCTGAGTCGTTTTGCAGAAAATAAAAGGAAATCAATTACAGTTTGCATTTTTAAATCAATAAAACTTTTAGGATATTGTTGTTAATGACTTATAATTTTTATGACACAGATCTTTGTTTTATTACTTCTATTATTAAGATAAGCTTTTGACAAAATCTACGAAGAACTTTTAGCTATTACCTATCTAACCATGCTTCTTAATATAAAAAGTTAATAATATCACACAATAATTGCTGTTTGTAGGACAATATGACAATTATTGTCAAGAGCAATAGCAGTATTCACCCGAGCCCAAAGGCGAGTGAACATTGTAGTTCGAGGGTTGCTAAATTATCTCAGTTGTTGGAAATTTTTGATAGCAACGGTTTTAAAAATGAAAAGGGTGGCTACCTTAAAAAAAGTCTGACAAACAACCAGTCGTTATGAGTTACCGAAAAAAACCGATTTTTTAAATGACAAATGTACCATGGTACAAATATAAACCTACCGGAATAAAATGTAACATTTTTGCTATTAAAGTACTCAAACTAGGTGGATCACTGTAGAAAATGTTAACGAAGGATTAACCCGTGTCACCTTTCTGAGTAACCAATTAACTCGTTTTCGATACATTGACGGGTATTGTGAAATTTACCTGAGATTCCTACGCAAACGAAAGCGCAAAATCTTAGTATAGAAACTGTTGCGGCTGCGGAGCATCACTCATTATCCCTTTGTCATAGAATAGAATCCGACATTTAACACTGAATATCTTTTATATTTATAAAGACATTTTCAATATATGCTTCGTTTTTGTATTTAGAAATGTAACCTTTTTATTTTACAAAAATAATATATTTTGTGTTTTTAAATTGACTAGATCGATGACCTTGCATCGCTTTAGATAACGCAAGTGCTTGTGTAAAAATATAGAAAGGAACCCCACCCTTCCCCTTTCGCCCCAGCTTCTGAAAATATTTATTAGACACAAAAAGTTATCCAAAAAAAAAAAAAAAAAAAAAAAAATACATGAATTCCTGGTCTTCTTGTAATTTTGATAAGTTTTTGTGTCTAATAAAAACTCTCAGAAGCGGGGGGGGGGGGTATATTGCCCTCGTTTTCATAGTAAAGTATATATAAGGCTTGAGGTAATACTAATTGTAATGGTAATGCATTGCAATGCATTACCTGAACTCTAAGTAATGCTAACTAGTAATATGTAATGCCAAAAAACGCATTACATGTAATGGTGATGTAATGCATAACTTTATCAAATCCAGAGTAATGCTGGCATTACATAGCATAACAAAACATTATTTTGTATGTACCTATTTAAAAAAAAAAAATAAAATGGACGTGGAAATTATTGTTTAGATTATTTTTTTTTTCATAAATGATAGAAATGAATGATAAAAGTTAACCTATTTAAATAAACTCTCTGTATCTATTTAAATTCACTTTTATTCTGTTGAAATTACAATTACCATACATTTAAATTTTCACACTTATCTTAGATAAGATTTGATTTCAAAGAATTATTTCAAATATTTAGAAATCTTTTTTTAAAAATAAGTCTTATATGAGGTACACTTATTAATGTACACTGTAAACTGATAATTCCACTTTTTGAATAGCTAAATCGAGTGCCATCAAAACATACTATGCGATTATTTTGTTTGTTTGTATGTTGTTTAACGTCTATCTCGAAAATTTTTCACTCATATGGAGACGCCACCACTTGCCGGTGGAGAGCTGCAAATTTTCCCCTATACTCGGCACTTAGGGCCATTGAGCAGTGAGGGATCTTTTTCGTGCCAGCACCTACTGCGACACGGGACCACGGTTTATACGGTCTCATCCGAAGGACCGGTCTCCACGTCCCACAGTGGGATTCGAACCTGCGACGTAAGGATCAACTCCTTATTTCGCGACTCTAGAGCAGACGCTCCAACCACTGCGCCACGCGGGCGACCGCCTCTGGGATTAAGTAAAAATTAAAACAATGCATTGTTTTTAGAAGTGCTCAAAATTACCAGGCCTCCTGACAGTGTTTATAAGATATTAATTGATCTGGTCTAGCTTGAGCTGACCATGAAAAGTCCATTGTATCAAAAGGAATGGAAAACATGCAGGCATTCTACAAAAGCAAGTAATTGATATCAAATTTGAATTATCACTTGTCATGTTGAGTTTTGAAGGGGTTGAATGCATGCTTATGAAAATAGTACAAATTTTTGAATATCTATTTTTAAAAGCCCCCAAAATTAATGGTAATGATAATGCATTACTTTACGAAAGTTATGGTAATATAATGCATTACTTTACTAAAGTTATGGTAATGTAATGCATTACTTTCAGATATAAGAGCAATGGAAATGGTAATTTAATGCCCAAATTCTTGAAGTAATGGTAATGTAATGCATTACTTTACGATGTTATTCTCCCCAAACCTGGTAAATATATACTCGCAAAAATATTGGGAAGGTGGGGTGTTCCTGCCCCCTCCGGGGCCTGCAGGCCTGGCATCATGTGAAATCTTCAACAGAGATGTGTTCTCTTTCAAGGAGAACAACACCAGGTAAAAACTGGACAATATTTTAAAATCTGAGTTCGAGCATAACAGTTCAAACGCTATGTTGTGATAAATGGATGACCCCAATTAAGTTTGAGGTCAAGGCTAAATAATTAAACAATGGATGCTTTGATCAAGTATTGATATCCAAGTCGTGCTTCTATCATTCATTATCACATTTTTAGTAATTAGACTTTAACGTTAAATTATAATGAGAATTTACGTGATTCAAGATAAAAGAAATATTTTATAACATATATTTCAATACAACCCAGAACTTCCTTTAGATTTCTATTAGAAACACAGGTCTATGGTCCACGTATTGAAATTCTTTTGGAAGGACAGTAACTTGTTTCTTAATATAACCAGGAGTACAACTATGATTAATGACATATTTACCTGCCAATTTTGCTTTATAAATTTTCACTGATTTCAACCCAGAATAAGAGAAATTCTAAATTTTTAACACCTAATGAAAACATCACTAAAAGTCGAACAAGTTTGTTAAGTTGAGGGAGCTCATGTTTGAATCGTTATATTTCATCCCTTCCTATTTCAATACATACATATTCTTTTCATTTGAAGTCATTAATTTATTCTCAAATGCTGTATGTTCAATAAAATATATTCTCTGTTAAAATAATTATTTTCATATAAGATCAAATATAAATTTTGAATTGCTAAACGTCACATTTTAATTTCCTTCGTTCAGTAACCGTCCATTTGTGAGGGATATCAGTACTGAGACAGTCTGATATAACACTTAATACCAGACTGCTCACTAAGATCGGACTACCACAAGTAAAATTTTAGGGTGCAAGAACAAAGGAATGACATCACAGCAATGTTTTAAAAATGCATTAAAGTGGGTGAGATATATCGCTATACGGTAAACATAAGAGAATGTAGATGCATATTATACAGCGGTATATTAGAACAAAATGTAGATAAACAGCTGAACACGGTATTCGTGTACAGATCAAATGGTATATTTAAACCGAGTCACAGTTTTTAGTGCAAATGGTAGATACATGTATAAACCACAGCAAAGTAGTCAGAACAAATTGCAGATATACACACCGTGCCATAGTATATTGAACAAGAGGTTGATAGATGCATATTGCACCACTGTAGTTATAGAAGAATAAGTAAAAACATAAATCGAGGAAGAGCAAAAAAAATATATTATTTTTATGTTAATTATTGCCAAAATTATCAAAATAATATTTTTAGATGGATATTTACTCTCTTGCATGTAGTTGTGAATAAGTTGGTTGTCCTAACTGAAATAACACATCGTTTAATTGAAGGTCAAGTAACATGATCACCTATGCATATACGAAATGGTGACTTTATTTTCTTTTTGCTAAATACTAATGTACAAACACAGGTCTTTAGAATTGATCATTACAGGTGATCAAGAACCATGGATATTACACCTCAAAAGTAATGACAAAAACTCCTGATTTCAACGAATACTGGGAGGACCTGAACAATGTAAAAGGATATAAAACTCTTGAAAAGGGTTATAGAATGTCTATAGTAAGTATCAACGTGGACATTTCTTTTTTGTTTGAAGTTCAATGTTTTCTGTCATCTTTATATGAATAAAGAATACATCTTACAAGTAATAATGTCCAAAACATGAACACATTTCCCTAGCGTTGTCAGTCATCTCATCAATGCATATATCGTAGCAAAGTAATTTGGAGTCCAACCAAGTGAGGAATCATGTTATCGTTATTTTTTCATGATTTTGTATAGTTAAATGCAAAACAATATATACTTGAAACAATGACTGAAAAAACAAGACTAAAATGCACCCCCCCCCCCCCCCAGCGACAATGTATCACTGCAAACATTTTTGCTAATATATCACAATTAAACTGTTATCTCTACGAAATTTTAACAAGTTGACTACAATATGCGACATTTCATTTATATTGCAGTCGGTTAAACTGATATTTAAATTCAGATTTTATGGCAATATCATAACCGAGATCATGATATCCACCGGAGGTAAATGAATTTTTTGTCGAATAATTAAAAAATAATTAATACATATAAGATAATACAGCTTAATTATTTATGCATTTAATTTATATTTTATGGATATGATAGAAATTTGGAAATTCAAGTTTTGCCCTCTCGGAACGAATTTTTTGTACATGCCTGGATATTTTCAGGATTTTTAAACATGGGGCTATTTAAATATGCAAATCTCACAGCAACACAGTATATTGCGCCACTGACGGCAAACTTTGATCCCACTGTTAATGAGGATTCAAAAATTCTGTATAATGATTTTGGTAAGTTAAACTATCATTCGAACAATTAAGCTACATGTGTCTTCTTCTTTACAGACCGATTACATGCGCTAAGGGATTAATCATTTCATTTTGCCTTTCTTTCTGCAGGTGATAGGTTTGTAATGGAATGGCAAAATGTTTATCTCCACGACAGAAATGACAGTAAGGTCATACTGTACGAAAGTTCAGATTCGTTTTATATTCTTTTCCATTTATTTAAAAAAGATCTACATATCTAAAATTGATATAAAGTCTAAGTAATCGGACACAATTTAAAAAAAATAATAATAATAAGGATTTTTTGTATTTTCTTTTCATATCTTATAATAGATTTCGCGTGAATTGTTGGTGGATATGATTTTTTATTCAACGAGTTAAGTGTTTTGTTTAGAAACATAAAACGAGTTTATAAGATGTCTTATAATCGATCAGGTGATATATATACGCTAGACAAAATTGCTAATGCACCACTTATTATTCTTATTTGTGAATTGATCATTTGCCTGATTGGTACTAGTATAAAAAAGGCCATCTTTTCCAAAACAGTTGGATGAACAAATGTCTTGGTGTCATGACAAGACCCTTAAAGGACTCTCTTGTCCGAAAACCAATTTCCCGATGTGCACTGCGCACCGTTTTTGCCAAGATATAAAGTTGGTGATTACCGATGGTGGTCCGTGTTATATACTCTGACTGACTACTATATCTCTTAGCAGTCATCCGGTGCCTTGGTGTCCCTTCCAAATCCACCCAACTTCCGGTTGCCCAAATTTTGTGGAACAATCTTGAAGATATTGTGTGGTGCTTACCTAGTGTCGTCGCTATCTAAACAATTGTAAATATTTTTATGATTGGTAATTTAATTTCAACAATTTTTCATCAGAGAAGTGCATAATCATGTAATTGTTTTAATTTTTCACAAATTTCTCCAAAGGAACCCTCTGCAAACACCATACTTGCTGCCCTAGAACGCTCTTCTAGAGTCAAACGCCTCATACGGTGTAACTTTTTTTCTGAGTTTTTAATTAGTACAAACATAAAGAACACAACCACAAAGAAAAAACAGAAAGTTATTCTACCAAAAAAGTATAGATATGATTTTAATTTTTCTATGAAATTGTTACGCTTCAGTAAACATTGTAGTTATTTATCAGTTAAGACGTTTAAATGCCTTTTTTTTTTTTTTTTTTTTTTTTTTTTTTTTTTTTTTTTTTTTTTTTTTAAAGTTACATAATTATATATCAAAAACATCAAAAACAAGTTTAACTGCAGAACTGTAGAGCTCCGAAAAAACAATGATAGACCGCGGAGCTACAGTGCCACCCATAGAAAAACTGTATACCGTATTTATTGCGCACAAAAAAGTGCGCTGTTTCTCGATTTATTTCTCCGTATTTTTAAACTGCAATCTCTAAATATTACTAACCGTGTGTTCTTAACACATTTTTGCACTTTTCCCATATCAAACCATTTCCTATAATCGTTGTTAATATCCCTCCTGGCCTGAAATTAAGACCATCCAAAATTTCGCTTGTTAATACTGTCATTTTGGGTGGCAAGACAATTCGGCCAAAAGCGTTTCGTAAAGATGTCAACTGCAAGAGTAGTTGACAGAGGTCTTAGGAATTTTTGGAAATCGAGATTTTGTGCAGTTGAGGTAAGAATTTGCAGAAATAAATCCAGAACCAAGCGCAAATTTTTGTGCGAAATAAATATACAGTTTTTTTCTATAAGTGGCACTGTAGCTCTCCGGTATGTCACTTTTTTTTTTTATTTTTCGGAGAGCTGCAATTCTGCAGCTAAAATAAGTTTTGAAACGAAAAATATTAATTTATTTAGGTGGTGCGTTAGCTAATTTTTGTATATATATATATATATATATATATATATATATATATATATATATATATATATATATATATATATATATATATATATATATATATATATATATATATATATATATATATATATATATAATTATGTATGTATAAGACAGTGTTATTTTAGTTTTCTTTTCTTCCATACATAACACTTGACAGACTGTACGCTTCTTCATAGTTTGAATAAAAACATCACAATTTTTATATATAGCTATCTCTTTTTGCCCGTCGTTGTGCTTTTTCCGTCCTTTCGTTTGTAAAGTTCTGGACATTTTCAGCTTCTTCTCTGGAACCAGTGAAACAATTTTAACTAGTTTTGGCATATAACATCTGTGGGTGAAGGGGAATATAAATTTTGAAATTCGTAGTCACTGTTCATCTTGGGCCCGAGGAATGGGACCAAAACTATCAAAATTAATGCAATCTTTAAAAATATTTTTACTTTACTACTGGACATCAGGCTGTCAAACTGTTGCCATGCTTGTAATAAGCAGTGAGCCTTCTACCTAAATTGTGAATTTCATGGCTCCAGGGTCAGGGGTTCTTGTGCTAGGGCGGGTCTCTCTTGACAATATAGTGAAAATGCATTATTCCTTAAAAGATCTCCTCTGATCCTGGATATTCAGCAAACAAACTTAATGCACGGTTATGATGAGCAAGTGAGTATCTTCCAAAATTGTGAATTTCCGGGTCAGGGGTTCTGATGTTCGGGTTTGATTCTATTAATTGTATAGTTGAAATGCATTAATTTTTTGAAAATCTTATTCTCTGCTCCTGGGTATTAAACAAACTAACTGAGTATGACATGGTTATGGTGAGCAAGGATGCCTATTCTAAAATTTTGAATTTCATGACCCCTGGGTCAGGGGTTTTGGTGTTAGGACGGAGCTCTATTGATTATATATTGAAAATCCATTAATACTTTGAAAATCTTCTTCCCTGCCCCTGGAGATTATTTAAACAAACCAAGTGCATGATTATGATATGCAAGGATGCCTCTTCCAAATGTGTGAAATATATGGCCCCAGGATCTGGTGTTCAGGTGGAAAGGGGGCTGAATTAATTATAGAGTGAAAAGCATAATATCTTTGAAAGTATTCTTTCCGCTACAGGTTACAAAGGAAAGAAACTAAGTGTATAGTTATGATGAGCAAGAGTGCTTCTTCCAGAATTGTGAGTTTCATGGCCCCTGCGTGAGATGTTCTGGTGTAAGGGTGGGGCTCTATTGAAAATATACTGAAAATGCATTAATTCTATTGTCTCCCGCGTGGCGCAGTGGTAAGAGCGTCTGCTCTAGAGTTGCGGAGTAAGGAGCTAATCCTTAAGTCGCGGGTTCGAATCCGACTGTGAGACCTGGAGACCAGTCCTTCGAATGAGACCGTATAAACCGACATCCCGTGTTGCAGTAGGTGCTGTCACTGCTCAATGACCCGAGTGCCGAGCATAGGATAGGTCAAAATTTGCAGCTCTCCACCGGCAAGTGGTGGCGTCCCCATATGAGTGAAAAATTCTAGAGAGGGATGTTAAACTACAAACAAAACAAAAAACATTAATTCTATTCATTAATCCTGTCTGCTGCTTAGTGTTGAGCAGATGAATAAATTGCTTAGTTATGATGAACACTGGGGCTTCTTACAGAATTTTTAAAACTTGTGGTCCCAGGGTGAGGGGTCCTGGGTTCTGGCATTACGGGGGAGGTGGATTTGATAATATAGTGGAAAAGTGTTATTTTTTTTTAGGTGCACGGTTATCATGTTGAGGATAACTCTTCCAGATTTGTAAATTTCTTGACCCTGGCTTTTAGGTTCTGGTGTTAAGGTAGGGCTGTGTTGAATCTGTAGTGAAAATGCATTGTTCCTAAGAAATTCTTCTCTACTTCTGGACATATTGCAGGCAAACTGAGTGCAACTTTTCATAAGGAAGGGTATTTTTACCAGAGTTTTTAACATATAACCCATTTTGTCAAGCGTTCTGGTCCTTGACAGGTTCCTATTAATTTGTATACTACTGAGAGAAGTTATTCCCCATTCCATTCACCTTTTATAATTAATCACTGTAAATAAAGTTTTTGAGAGGTTAATAGAATAAGAGAATTATGCAAAAAATAATGTTGTGTAATAGAAAAAGTACTTTCTAAGTATTAATGTTCAGAAAGACCTGTAAATAATAGATAAATAACATGGAGACAAGATCTAGAATAGCTTATCTTATTAAATGTTCTTCAAAGACCAAAAGAGGTTATAATATTGAGTTAAAAATAGTGCAGAAACACGAATAGTTTGTTAATAGTCTTCGTGGTGATAGTGATAAATTGGGGACAGATTAGAACTTAATTTATGAGTTGTTACTGAATATTAGACTAATTATTTTGTTGATCCTAATCTTCCTACTTCTCTGTCTTTTGGGCAACAGAGCTTCATTTGTAACTTTTTTTATATTCTATTTTCCTATAAATCATTGTATTGTACTCTGGTGACCTTAAGGCCCTTGGGCCTCTTGTTATACTAAAGCTTCTATTAAACAAAACTTTATATCATTTTTGCAGCTAAGCCCTTCCATTTTCAAACAACTCTTCAGACGAATGGAACAATCTATTTTGCCTACAAGCAGGTAAAATGTATCATTTAGTTTATAATGTCCAACATATAGAAAATACTTGGCCCTAAGACAATGAAATTGATAAAAAAATAGTCATAATTTAGGTTTTAATGTCGATACTCTAATTAAAATATACTATGGTGTACTATAGTTAACTACAGTATCAAAGTTTCTATAGTAAATCATAGAGTTCACTATAATGAATCACAGTATTTTTACTATGGATTTCAGATTGTTATATATTATGTTCTAAAGTTAATACCTGCATATGTGATGTATTAAATGGAGATATTACTTGAATATTAGCATATTACTTTCAATTTAACATTAGTGGTTTTAAATTTAAGAGATTTTAAACGCTTAAATCTAAAAAAAAGTTCTATAGTAAAGTTCATAGTAAATCAAAGTATCAAAGTATTTACTTACATGAAACTATAGTTAACCATAGTAAACTATAATTTTTGTTAGGGTAGCTAGTGAGCAAACAATATTTAACAGTTGCTAAAAAATCTTGATTTTTTTTATTTTCGAAATTATTTCAAGATTTTACTTACTTGAATTTTTGGTTCACGATCTTGAGGCACGAGAACATGGAAAAATACCATTTGGTGCATTCTAGCGGTCTTTAATTAATTACACCCTGTAGCTTATTAATTGCAACTTTATCACATTTCGTCTTTTCTAGTATTTTTGTCTCTCTTAAGGACATTGGCAAGTCCGAGTTTTCTGGAGAAAAAAAGGTTTATTACATGGGTTTTTCACTTATGAAATAGTGATTGAGAGTGCAGAATTCTCTAACCAAAAAAGCGTATGTTACAGAGGTAAACAAAAGCACGTGTACTTCCTTCAACGGGTAGAATTATCTATACAGCAAGAAAGAAAATGCTTTGTTGTACATTGTATTCAGGCGACGAAGAGCCTAAAGGTCGTCATTTATCATAGTTATGCTCAATATGCTAGGAAGGACAAAGATGTGTCATATGCTGAAAGGTAAACCGACTGAGATCAGTTCCTAAGTTGTACAGGTAAAGCAACATTTAGTAACTACGAATGAAAATTAAAATAAATTTTCATGCAAATATTTTTTTTTGACAATGTGCTTCAATCAATTCCGTCAATTACATGATGGAAACAATCAACCAGTCTGACTCTCTTGACCATTATGAATAATATGAAATTATATCTGGTAAGGGAAGTAACCCAAACATAAAGATCGGTGCTGGTATGTCCTTGTCTTATTTCTATATATATATGTTCAGCCAAAATATCTAGAAGTCATAGGAAATGAAGATATATTAATACAAACACTATTTGAAATAAGTTGGTTTTGGAGAAATATTGTGGTGAAAAATTATGTAAGTCCCTTTTATCAACATTTTAGATAGTAAATGCATTGCGGATTGCAAAAGTACTGATTTGATAAAATTTAAAAATTTAAAGAAAGTTGGCTTGGTAGTTTAAACAATCCAGAATATAGCCTCTTAAGTACAATAAAACCTACTCAAGAGATCTTGAAAAATTCTATACAATAACCAGGAAGTCACAGATTGTCGAGCGGATTTTTTTAACTAATTAAAATACAGCTCAATTAATGCTTTTTTTCTTACAATCTACATCTTTAATGTATCATGATACTATATACAAATGTCGTTGTTGTTTGTCGTCATTTCCCGTCTCGCCGCTGGCTTTTCCACCTCACAGGTTGGAGGATGGACTCTAGGTTCCAAGGCCGGCTGGCCTATCTACTACACACCATGGGCGGACTTAAAACACTGGGTGGCCTCATTGTTGTACAAAAACTCTGACATATGGATGGAATCTGCTCCAACATATACATACAAGTTTTGCTTACACACTCCATTGGTTTTACACAAATACACACTACACTCATTATCATATTTATAGATAATGGACACGTCTTAGATAAGACTCAATTACACACACATGAGTTGTTTAAATTATTCATACAACTCTTACACAAATGCAATTTTGCGAACTGCTACTTTACGGACAAACTTTCATGACAGAAATTGTACACCGTACTTTGAAATATTCAAGTACGTGTTAATATCGATAACAAGTTAAATTGATGCAAAGCATCAAATTGGCCGTAAAATTATATTATTATAGCAATTTAAAGAATTTTCACAAAAGAGAATCCAAAGGAAAAATTCAAAATAGAAAAATTACATGTATGTGGTACATTTCTTTTGCAAACTGTTCCATTGCCTTACTTTTTCTTTTCATATTTTAAACTTTAATTTGCAGTGTGATCAATCAAAAATAAACTCATGGAAATAAAAATAGGGTTGCCCGCAGTGAAAGATAGTCTCATAATAAAATTATTTGATTGAAAGGCTTACGCAAAAAATATCGAAAATTACTAATTATGATAATCTGAATGCTGACAACAAATAGACTTCACATGCTGATATCAAGGATCTTTGTCATATGATAATGCCGATGATGTATCAAAATAAATGTGAAGTGCAAAAATGAAATCACTGTGATATTTGCAAATAATTGTATTCAAACAAAATTCACTTACTATAAAATCCTATACAATTTATTAGTTATTTTTGGCACTGTAATCCGGAAACTTAATACGTTTTGTTTTTATATCCTATGCATCCTATCCCATCGTGGGGAGCAGTTCATGCAACAACTTTTAATAAACTCATAAATTAATGAATATCTGATGTGAAATGAAAAACAAACTCAAACCTAATAACAACCATTAGGACTAAGAATTCAGCGAATTTTTAAAACTTTTATTCATAACTATTAAGTACTGAAGCTCAATAGTGCAAACCAAAAATAAATAAAGAAAACGATATTATTAAATAAAGAAAACGAAATTATTAAATAAAGAAAACGAAATTATTAAATAAAGAAAACGAAATTATTAAATAAGAAAACAAACGAAATTATTAAATAAAGAAAACGAAATTATTAAATAAGAAAACAAAATTATTAAATAAAAAAAAAAACGAAACTAAAATACGGAATTTATAGATGTGCATGGTAAGGACCTGAACCCATTAATCATTCCGTTCTACTTGTATGACCTGATTTTGTTTTGATATAAAACAATGTCCTGTTTGCATTACAGTCAGCTCTTTCCGTATCGATAACATAACCTGGAGTAGACAATCACAATACATGAATATGGGAGAATTTTAACCTTTGGTTATCCAATATGGTTAGATCTATGTTCTTAACATGATTAATGTGAACTTTGACCAGTCTGATGAATTGGCTAGTGATGACAAGTTTACGTTAACATTAGCTTTCTTAAACCCTCAGCTCAGAAGGGCTAATTATCAGCATACAATGACATGAAACATAAAAGAGATTATGCTAATAAATTCCACAAATATTTAAGATATACATGTCTGTTCAAATTCCGTTGTTTACAACTGCTGAACTTTATAACATTTAGGAAATTCCCATGGCTATACATCATTCATCTTCGCTAGCCATAAATGGGGAGCAGTGCGGACCAAAAACCCTTGGCTAGCGAAGATGTACGTCATTTTTCAATTATCGCACATTACAAAAATGCTGTAAAATGATACGTTACCGATCGGATTTTGCGGGTTTCATTGACATTATAAAAAAAAGTTTAAAGAGAGCAATTGCAGAAATTAAACAAGTCAAAGTGGTTACAATGAGTAGATTTTAATGATTGCTTTCTTTATTAAAAAAAAAAAAAACACTTAATTCTAATTTCTTGGTCATTTTATCAAAGCATAATTAGAAGTGATGCACTAACTATTTGCTCTCACAAATTCTAAATGACAAATTCTCAATCTGTATTTATAAGTCAGTGATAGTTGTGAACAAACAATGCACACACTTGCATAACAAATCCCACAAAGTATTCAAACCATTCTCTTTATTGTTTCAACAACCTAAGATTTATGGGTATACAGATAGGGCGCTAGGTTTAGTTCGGGGGAGGGGGAGGGGGTCAGCAATACGATGCGCAAGGTCTTGACCTTTCAGCGATTCATGAGCTCTTTTGGAATGTCATTAATAAGCAGAAACAGCCATCCTCGCTACGTCAAGGCTAACAGGCTCAAACTTTCATGTTGTGGGAATGCAACACAGCATCAAATTCCCGTAAACAAAATTGAACAGTTACGAATCATTTACTTCAAAAATGCGAATTATAGGCTGTGGGCACATAATGTTTTTCTACGTTTGTCAATTTGACATTTATCTAATTTTTTTTTTTTAATTTTTCATTTCCCCCACACTTGTTTTAATGTCGAAACGAAATCAGGTCTATAGCATCCTTAATGATGCTTTATAACACGTGCACTTTATGGAATGGCCCTTACCATGCACATCTATAAATTCCGTATTTTAGTTTCAGTTTTTTATTCAATAATTTCGTTTCCTTTATTTAATAATTTCGTTTGTTTTTTTTTTTATTTAATATTTTGTTTTTTATTTAATAATTTCGTTTTCTGTATTTAATAATTTCGTTTGTTTTTTATTTAATAATTTCGTTTTCTTTATTTAATAATTTCGTTTTCTTCATTTAATAATTTCGTTTTCTTTATTTAATAATTTCGTTTTTTTTTATTCTATTTTTTTTTTTTTGGTTTGCACTATTGGGCTTCCGTAATTAAGTTTGTCATCAACAAAGAATTATTCCATCGCAGCAATGAAAAAATAACTGCTCAATTCCCCATGTGCACATTCTAACACAACCACAACTAAAACGGCCGCTTCTGCGGCCGATAAAAATCAAATTAAACGAAATACACATGCTAAAAATGAAGAGACCTGCGGTGACTGGATGTTTTAGGACAAATAAATAATATACAGAAAATAACTTAAATAGAAGTATAAATATAAAATAGAAGTATAAAAATAAACTTTACTTCAGGAAAGCTGGACCATTACATTGCTAAGAATAATAGCACACCAGAACAAGCAATGCAATGAATTATAAGGGTAATTACATGTAAAATGTAAAGATATGATGAGATAAGGCGTCGTCATCTCTGTCCAAACTAACATTCTTGCACAAACTGGCAGGTTAAGTTCCAGTGAACTGAGGTTCCATGAAGGTTATTTACAATGATACGAAGTTTAAAAAGAAGCAGTTTCCCACGGGATATTTACATGGAATTTAAAATTCAGTTACAAAAGAATGATACAATGATTTTAATGTGACAAGGAACCTTGCCAATGTCCTTAAATAATTTTGCAATGCACAGGGCAAGTGTGAAGTATTCAATATCACTAGGTTAGACACGACAGGTGCAATCTGGGTTTGTCTGTACAAAGGGAGTAAAATAGATTGTAGTTATATTGTAGATACCTGTAGAACTGTTTGATATTGACATGAGCGATCACCCCGTAGAAGTGGGCGTATCTGATGCATACTACATTGACGTTAGGAAAGGTATTTGTAATAATGATATCATATACAAGAGCTGACAAAAAAATTCATGAAAGGTCATATAAAGTGTGCACTGCCAAGGGTCAAATTTAATAAACTTGGTAATGGAGTGTCTGGATGTAAATGATAACGTTGTTCATGTGAAAAATCAAAACTAAATAAAATTTTTAATTTAAAGTAACTTAAACGACTAACGTCATTTTCTAATGTCGTTACTATCAGTTATTAGATGGATGAAGGAAATATCAGAAGAAAAATGCAACAGATATGTCTTTGAAAAAGCCCAAAAAAAGCGACGTCGGTCATCCGAACTGATTAGCTATCATGGATGATGATATTATGTGTTGATCTTGAAGAAGCGCCGTTGGAGAACATGAAAATATTTGAATGAATCAAGAGGAATTAAAGGAAAGAAAAGACTCTAGACCTTTGATTCACAAGTTGCATAAACAGTTTTCTGGCGGGGTGTGCATTTTGGAAGACCTTACAAAAAGTGGAAGAGCACTGATATGTGATGAAATGTAAAATATAAAGATACGAACACCTGAGCATGCCTACACGTCAGACTGGGTCATTCGTTTTGCAAAGGTCTATGCATAATATCCATAATAATATTAGTATAGTTGTTATCGCACACACGTATAGCAGTATTGCTAAAAAAATGTGTTCATGAATTTGTTTGACAACCCTCGTATAATCTTTCAAAATCTTAAGCTTACGAACAGGTCCTGAAAGCTAAAATGCAAATAATAAGCATGAAACACCTGCCTTTTTTTCAATTTTAAAAGGGTGTGAATTCTCTTTTAACCGGCCAATTTTCTCTTCACTTTTCACTATTTTATTTAAAGGTAGCACTCAGAAAATGTTAATGCAAAACCAACTTTTACATATTAAAAAAAATATTATATGAGCAACATTCTTGTAATAAGTTTCTTAGTTCTATTTTTTTTTTATAATTCAAAAAATATCCTCTTAAAGTAAATTTTGAGTAAAACGAAATTTTGAATCCATAGAATTATATGTACAGGCGGCGTAAAAAGAAGGACAATAAACGAATATAACCGTTTGGACATTGACTTTAAACTTGTTCGGACAGGGACAGTGGTTATTTTGGACCCGTTAAAGAGTAAGCTGTTTTATTTCTATTGGGAGAATAAACAATGTTTACTCAATATTATTACTGTAAATTATATCAGCATTTTTCTTACTGAAACCCGGGAAAGACAAAAATAATGCTTTCTGTCTCTGGTAATGCCTTAACGTTAGTAATATGTACGTGCAATGACACCTTTTGCAAATCTATTGGCTTTCTTTTATCAAAATTCAAAATTATTCGCACTTCGGTTTCTCATTAGATGTTTCGTATTCAAACACAATCGCTTAAAAGCTTTCATGTCTCTATACTCGCTTACAGCTTGTAATATTGCCAAGTATTGTACAACTTGTTTAACCAAGGACGATTCATTTGATTGTAAATGGTGCCCTATGGTTGGGAGATGTTCCGATGGCTTTGATTGGCTAAGACAAGAATGGCAGAAGCGAGAATGTGACAGAAAGGTAAAGAGTCATGAGGATTACGCAAAATTTCTATCTAGAAATATGTTACATGACCAGTCATACTATTCCCTGTATTTGATAACCATTAGAAATGAATTTGTCAATTTTTAGCGACACAAACCATGCATGTAAAAATCTCGTTTTTGAGTATACATTAAGACATAATTCCATGTTTTATTTTAAATTGTATATCTGAATTGAACATATTGCTAGCCTCTCTATATTGATTTTTCTATAAATAATTCAGTATTTTTACGATCAAGAATTTTAACTACATTATATTTCTGGTACCATTAACTTTCATATGATGGAAAATTAAATCATTGAATACATATTTAGAAGCAAAGTTTTTTCCTACTTCTTTTCTTTTTATACTTGCCATGCAATGTTAATACATGTATATCTCTTTACAAATTATTAGAATAAATAAACAATAATATTGAAACAGGATATTATTACAAATGTCAAATACAAGATTAATTTCCTTCGTAATGATAAAAGTTTCATCTGAATTGAAAAAGTCCCATAAAATGTATTATTTAACATTATTCATTCTCGCTCCGGAAAGTCGTAGGTTTGAATCCCGGCCGCGACGGACCTAAGTCGATTAAAAATAGGTACTTGTAGCTACTGTTCCTTCGCCAAACGTTCGGCACTTAAAAGTGAAAGTTTCGGGTTCTTTGGATAAGACCTTCAAAACCGTACTCAGCCGTACTGCTCAATGGCCCTGAGTGCCTAGTAAAGGTCTAAATTTGAAGTCCTTCACCGGTTTATGGTGACGTCTCTATATGAGTGAAAAATTCTCCAATGGGACGTTAAACAACATTCAATTAATCAATCATTAAATATTTATGGTTTATGAGTGTGTATATTATCATTTTTAGGTTGAATACATGGTTAAAATAAGTTTAAAAAAATAATTTCAGTACATGGATATTTACATATAAAAAGGGAACAGAAATGCTTCAGAAACCTCTTTTGATTGCTATTAATACCCCAATTGAAATCTGTAAACATCTATCTGCTTATATCTACGCATGGCTTTGATTCGATCTGTTAATTGCTGATGGTATCACAAAATGCATTGTAATGAGCTTTTGATTCCTATTTCTTATAAGATACATGTATGATGTTTTTAGTATTGTAATGATAAATAACTTTGACTAAGAATAAAGATTACATTTGTAATCCAAGAATTTTCCCTTTCATTGGTATGAATATTTACGAGAAATATTCTATATAAAATATGGAATAATTCAAAACACGTAAACCCTGTTTTATCGATTTTTATTCCTTTTCAGGCATTTGATGATTCAGCCAAGTGCAATTCTTCAAAACAATGTTTATTACACAAGACATATCTATTAGCTGCACAATTCTTTTATCTATTTTTCCACGGAGGAAGGATTTTTTAGTGCGCTGAGCTACATTTATGCATGCAGTATTTATTATAATTAATTAATAATTATATAATTATTTTGATATAATTTATTATAATCCAATATATGTTCAAATTCCCTGTTCTCTGACTGCTTAATAACCAAATAAATGCAGTCTTTTACATCAAGTGTTTTGGTAAGTGATTACATTTTAATTTTAAATATAACATCCATCTAGTTTCATTGGAAGAAAGATTAAATTTGTATCTTTTAATAATGTAAATGATAGAGTGATCTAAATATGTTTTTAAATAGATCGGCGTATATTTTTCTCCTGAAAATATTTAAAACAATGTAGACCTCATTTAAGCTAAACTGATTCATTTTCAAAATGATTCAGATATGCACTTTAAGCGCTATAAAAAGGAAGTGCTGTTTGTTCTAAAACCGAAAAGGAGATGCACATCTGAAGTTCATTTTTGTTCAATTGCTATTTTCAAACATTGTTGATATTTTTAATTCTAAAAAATATTTTTCTCTTTCACCTCACCATTTATTTACCGAATGTATTGAGTTTATTACTTATATTTTTTAACTGAAATTCAAAATATTCATATCTAATCAGATTGAAGGACATTTCAGAATGGCCAGTGTATGACGATAATGTACTTACAAAAATGATGAATGAAATAACTAATGTTGAATAGCTTTTTATTTATCTATTGGCTATACTATTAGCTACAGGTGTTCGGCTACTCCTTAAAGTGTAATCATGCTCTTTTTATACACATATACTGTGACAAACTCATGTGAGGTGACTTCTTGATAATGTTCTAACTAGTATTTTACAACGTTGAGACATTAATTTGTATGAAAATGTTGAAGACTTTAAATAATTACAATTATAAAACTTGAGTGTTCCAAGGAAATGTCGCCTGCTTTGTAGCTTTAGTAAAGATGTAAATAAATGTCAGAGTGATCAACTGTTTATAAACTATTTACGTGATAGTTCTTGCATTTGCCTGCAAAGAAAAAAAAATGGCATCCCTGGATAGTATAAGACTGCGATAGAATCTGACAATTAAAGAAACTAGGGTTCCTAACCTTCAAATGAATAATTGAATTGAAATTATTAGAAATAATTATTTATCATTTTATAAATACGAGTTTCCAAAAGATTTCAGAATGTCTTCACTTCATTATTGTCAGTCTACACATTTGTTGTGGAATACCAATCCCGATGTATTTTCATCGTATTTAAATATGTTTGTGTGGTTACTGAATATCACACAGTTTCAAAGTACTGTATCATGACCTCAATGCGTTTCCAATGATCCTCTAAAAGAGATTTCAGTCTGTCTTTACTGCAATATTGTCAGTCTACACGATCCACTGTGGAATAATATATAAATATAAGTTTGTGTGGTAACTGAATATCGTACAGTTTCAAAGTACAGTATCATGAACTCATAAACTTGTATGATACTGATTGTCAAAATCCTGCCTCTCAACATTCAAGAATCATGAGTTAAATTAAACTACCAGGGGCATTTTTTGCAAAGTAGGTCAAAGGTCAAGGTCAGTTGGTTTGTATTGCTGGTATTTTTCAAAATGTCTTATGGCAATCGGTGCACATGCTAAATAGCTTAGACTCAATTCTTTAATCTCAAAAATATGATGTATATCGGCACTATAACCTATTTTGAAAAGTTAGTCGAACGTCAAAATCAAATTTTAAAGGTCACGAGGTCGGTAACCAATGTTATTTATAAAAGCCATAGTACCAAGCAATATATGTGCAAAATATCAAATCCATACATTTGCAGTTCTCGAGATATAAGGTGTGACAGATGGACAGACAGACAGACGGGTGAAGTGATTACTAAGAGCTTCTCTGCTCTGCATGCGGCACAAAAATGACATAATTGGAAAATGAAAAATCTATTGAAGATACATACAGTTACTTTTAATAATGGTAAAATAGAATAATACAAAAGTCATTTTTTTCTGGGCACCATGGCCAACAATCTTTAACTAAAATCATGTAAAATGTGTACGATATGTACCGTGGATCATAGGTACACCCGTTTATGAGGACTTGTCATGCAGTTTAGTTGTTAGTTGGCCTTTGTCGTCTACAATCAGTAAAACATCCACATTTGAAACAGATGTGGCAGACTCTGTGGTGTCTTACAGGTCGGCTAATAAAGAAGCAACTGGGTGCCAATCGGGATCCTAACTTTTTGTTTGAAGACTTGGTCTCCAAAGACTACATATATATAGTTGAAAATCAGTCCAAAATTGAACTGATGGTTAGGTCAATTGCTTGTCATTTACATTCTCAATAATTAGAAATACCGTCTAGACATTAATGCCGTTAGGAGAGAGCTATATGCAGACTCCGGACAGTCGCTCGAGACGGGGAAGTTCTACATGGATGCGTAAGTTAAACTCTTCTGGCATTTAACTGGCTTATATTTTTTTCATTGCGATTGGACCCCCCCCCCTTTCCACTGACTACCTCAACTGGTCCGTAAATGGACTAATGTTAACTTTCAAAGTTGGCGCCTAAAAAAATTGTCTGGCGACTTAAATTTTGCATTGACAACTATATTTTTTTATTAGGAGACTGCTTGCGCCTAGATTTTATAGGTCACTCCGAGGCTTGCCCTTTGTTTCCTCAATATTCCTGTCATTTACATGAATGAAATAATTTGCATCGGTGCCTTTCTTTTTCGATAACACTTCTACGTAGGAAACAAATATCCAATCTCTTAAATGTCTAAACCACTTTGGTTATGGTCCTTAATAATCTTTAAAAGTTGTGTTTTGTTTTTAATAACTATTGCATCTAAAATATACCAAAAAAAAAAAAAACGTATACATCTGGAAAAAGCTAAAGAGAGTTTTTATCTTATCTGTTTTACATCAAGACCTCCTTGCAGGCTCCACACTTCACAATGTATTCACAATACTACACACTACTTTATTGTAGGAGGTCATCATTTAGCTCATTATTTTTGCTGTATCTATGTTGGCAGATAAGTTCATTGTTTCAGCGGTCTCTGATAGTAAAATGTCCAAGGCATCTGATTTAGGATGATCATCATCGAATGTATCCTCTAAATCAATATAAGCAGGGACATTAATATAATCATTAGGTTCTTTTTCGCTCTGTGCTACATCTAGATATGTGCCGTCTGCATTATTAGGATCTATATATGTCCCATCCTCATCAGTAGGACTCAGAGTGAAAGGATTTACTCTTGCACCGGGCAGATGTTTATAACCTTCGTCTTCTTCCTCTACAATTTCATAATCGGGATCGGAATATAGACTATCTGGATTGGTTAAGTTTACTTCGTACGGAGAGTCCTTCGACTTTGGAATAGATGGGAGGCGCATTAATTCTTTCCGTCTTTTTCTCAATGTTATAGCTCTTTGTGATTTTGAAAAAAAAAAAAAAACAAAAACATGTAAACATTATTATGCCTCTAATTGATGAATTAAAGTTTAATCAGAATAATGTTTCAAATATATATATATATATATTAACATATTAATCTATGTACTAACGAACTCTGCATCTGTGATTGAGGCAACGTGATGTAAATTTTTATGGGTACTTGTATGAATTCATACAAAGAATAGCAAAAATTAAACTTTCTACAAAGAAGTAGGAAAGGTTTCGAAATATTGAAAATGGAAATTGTTTATAAGTCCGTCTATCAGATCTAGAAAGTAACACTTTCAAAGTAACATATACTTTCAGAATAAATCATGTTAACTTCCTCTGCTATTCGTATACACATGTATTAAATTCATAGAGTTAATCGTAATGTCCTACTGAATATATATGTTTGTATAATTAATATTTATTGCCTGAAAATAAGTTTACGTACAGAAGAAAAAATAATGTCTAATAAAAATATAATAGAACTAATTTCATGACAATCTAAGAAACAATATATGTATGCAAGGAAAAATACTAGTATGCCCTCAACATAAGTTATAATTACCATGTTTTGTGGTAAGATACCACAGGGTTTTTTTTAAGAATCATTAAATAAAAATAAGAGACCCATGGGCCCGAACGCTCACCTTAGTCATTTTGACCTTGCTTTTTTTCATCAGAGGATTTTTTTTTTCAAATTTCCTCCTCTTGTTTTATGAATATTTTGACTCCATATTGTGGACACTTTTATAAGCTAGTATTCAATAAAAGTTAAATCCACACGGCATTAGGATGCTTTAACATCATATGATCAACATGGTCATGCTGTTCTGGAGTCGATTTTTTTCTGTACTCATGCATTATGTAAAGTATGATATCCTGATTTCGGCTTAACCCTAACCCTAGGGTTTGTAATAGAAAAAAAATATTTCTCAAAACTTACAAGATATGTTTTGCTTTTTCATATGATGGTGGTTCAGCCGCTCTCGCCAATCTATCTATGTACGAGGGTGGTCCAAAGAGTTCGTGGACAATGGCATTTTTGTTTAAACGAATGGTTCAAGATATACTTATTGTATACTAAAATATTAATTATGAAAACATATTCAGAATAATTTGGTTTTATTGTTTCAACTTAAGATTTTAATATTTTTGTAAAAATTGCGGTCATTAAAGGTCGCCGATAGTACGCACGGACGAGGGTTAAAGTGCCATAAAGAGTTCTGATTAAAATTATTATTTTCTTTATAAAACAAGTCAAAGTCTAAGCTTGATAAAAATTAAATGTTCTGCAAATAAAGCGGCTATCGCCATTTTCTTGTATCTTTAGTATCACTTGCATGTACTTTTTGGACAGTGAGAAAATTTAAGCAAAAACCGCAAGAAGAATGTTTCAAAAATTGACAGAAAAAGCGACGTCGGCCATTCGAATGGAACAGCGTCCAATCATACAATTATGTTTTAATACACAATGTAGTTGAAACAACGTCAGACACAAAATATTTATTTAAACAACTTGAAATTATATGAAGATATTTAGTTTATTGATTTATAATTGGTGTATACGATTTTTCAACGGTGTATAAAATTTCGGAGACACTAAAAGAAGTGAAAAAACCCTGTTATTTAATACAAATAGGATATCCCTATTCATAAAGTTGTTATAAATCTAGCGCCGTCGGACTGGACTGTGCAACCTGTATATACGAAGTGTTCATATTGAAGACGCATGTAAATTATAGTGTATAATTTGTCTATTTTGGTCTATTTATAAATTTTATTGCACACACTTGGCAGTGTGGCATAATAAAAAAAATGAGCATGTGTCCATGAACGTGATAAAAATTCAAAGTTCATATTTTTGACTTTATCAAGAAATTAGCGTTACGTCAGACTGGGCCGTGTGGCCTGCATATACAAAGTATTTACACATATAACGTTTATAAAATAGTATGCATTGTTCTAATTTTTTATATGTTTACCAAATCATGGTCTTTATTAAATTACATGCATTATCGCGGACTTTATTTAAAAAATTAAACATTTGTCCATAAACTCTCTGGAAAACCCTCGTATATGCTTCTTTGTAAAATGTTGATCCCCTATTGCAGTCTCACCCTATTCCAGATGTCCCTGATCTGAACAAACTTAAATGCAAACTACCTCAGGATGCTTGCATATCAGTATGATTAATACTGCCTTTGTCTCCTATTGTAGCCCCATCCTATCTCCTGGGCCATGATTTAAATAAACTCAAAACTACACTTCCTGAGAATGCTTTATTATAAATAGGACTTATTGTCTCTTTGCTGTTCTTGAGACGATTTTTCCCTATGTATTCCTGTGTACTTTTATCCAATAATGTATTACACCCTACCACCAAGGTCAGGATCAAAATAAATTTGAATCTAAACTCTCTAACGATTTTTCCATTTCCGTATGAATAATCATGAATTTGTAGTATTTGAGATTTGTAAAGTTTTTTTTTTCTATGTATTCATATGTAAACTTCTCACATTTTGTGGCCCCAACCTTCCCAAGTGGCTCATGATTAGAAAAAAAATTAATCTATTCTAGCTACTTGATCAAGTTACAATATATTAAAGAAATATATGGAGATAACGAACAGTATTCAAGCTCAAAAGTCCATTAAACAATACAAAATAGGAGCAGAGCAGACACGGACCTCAAAACATGAGAGGTGGGATCAGGTGCCATGGAGGAGTGAGCATCCCCTGCCGATCGGTCACACCCGCCGTGTGCTCCTTGTCATGATCGGGAAATAACGGAAAAATCCGTCGACAATTCAGTGTGTAAATAATGGCCTAACAATTAGTATGAAAAACGTCAGTCAGCATTTGACTCAATGATCAATTGTATTTGCTGACAAGATCATTGTATCGACCATAGAACTTACGAAATGATGACTTTAAACGAGACAGCTGATATTCTTGTTTCATCAACTTGTTTGTCAATAATTTACCTCGTTTTAGACATTGTACATACGTAGAGCATGCTCTTGCGTATCGAATCAACTGAGAGATATATACCCCGTATGCAGGTGATGAAGGTATATTGCTGCATAAGTAAGGAAAGTCAAAGTCATCATGTTTATCATAAAGCTTGGTTGTTAAATAACCATTAACTTTTTTTTTCAAGTAAAATATCAAGATATGAAATAGATGTGTCAGAATCTGTGGTATCTTTTATCTCAAGCTCACCAGGATATATCGTATCGACATAAGGATGGAAATAGCCATTGTTAATTGACAATACGTCGTCGATATATCTAAATGTCGAGTTGAAGGCCACAACAAGTGTTTTCTTCTTTTCACGTACAAGATTTTGGACAAATTCTGCTTCATATGAATACAAAAAAGGTCTGCTAATAACGGGGCGCAATTGTACCCATGGGAATTCCAATAGATTGTTGGAAGACCTGGTCTCCAAAAACCACATAGATACTGTCAATCAGAAAATCAAGCATCTTTTTAATGTAAACTTCAGAGTACTTGTGTGTACAATCAGAATGTTTTTTAACAAAATAATTTTGCAAATGACCAATGACAAGGTAAGTATATTTAGGAGTTCCATTTTTATTGAAAATGCAGCTGTCAATGATTTCAAAAATCCTGGACTGTAATTTAACGTGGGGAATAGTTGTGTATAAAGTTGAAAATTCGTAAGTTTTAAATCTGTTGATTTTGGTAAAATCTTGTGATTTTCAAATTTTCCAAAAGTTCCTAGGAATTTTTAAGTATCCACATCTGATTTACACCACTGCTCGAATATATTGTAGCACAGTACTCTTGAAGTTTCTCCTTCACCACTGTTAATATCTAAGTGAGGAGTAAAGAAAGAGGCTTGGTTGAACATTTACTGCAACCTGCTATATATCTTTGTTTGTAAGGTTTTTTTATGAAGTCTCGGAATCCAATGTAAATATGGTAATTCAAATTCATTTTGGTTGTTTGGAATATTAAAAATATTCAAAACTGACATATGTTTTTGAAGAATTTCTTCCTTAGAAAGGGAACTATAAGTTGGATTACCACTTGTAGAATTAAATCCAAGCTCCTCTAAAATACATTTATATAATGAACCTTACAAGCAAAGACAATGTTGTTACCTGCTTTGTCAGCAGGGACCAGTAAGTACTGATCATGTAATCTATCTAATTCTTTTTTCACTTCTGGATTATTGAATACAGAAGAATAGATGGTTCTCATATTGCCCTCAATCTTTTAATGCGCGATTTTATCATACATCTGATACATTTAATCCATTCTGACAAAGTGTCAATGTCTTCTTTTTCATGTCTGGCCCATCGCTTGGTGTAGTCCTCTACAGAATCCATAATATTTATGAAATTCTGACGCCGGTTGATGGATTGAGGTTCTCTAAATTTAGGACCTTTTAAAATTAGTGAACTAAGGTCCTCATTATTAACTATATTTACGTCACCAGTAATAACGTGTCCAGCAGGACTATAGTTATAGGGCGAAGAAGAACATGAACACGAGGGAGAATTATGTTTCAGATATTCGATATCCAGGCCCTGTGAAGTTTTCTTGTAATTAAAAGGTTTGGAAGCAATAGTCGATGTATATTTGTAGGAAATTCAAGGTGTAGTCTTTAACTTGAAATATGGTTGAATACCCTTTTGTGATTAAGAATATTACTTATTTTAACCGCGTCAATTCCTTTGTTGGCATATTGTAGTTTAAGGAAAACTGCATTTTCTCCAGTAAAACACGGGGGTTTAAAAAGCCTATGATTTGCAATATATCCATAATCACAGGTCCGAGCCTATATTCTGGTGTCGAGGAATCAAAAAATCGACTTTCCTTGACCTTTTCAAGAAGACTATTTAAAAGTTTGAAAGGGACAGAATAAAGTTTGGTGCGGATATGATGTAGACGTAACTGTTGATTTACGTTAGGTAGTAATGAATCAAAAGAGACATCGTGTATTAAAGGTTTATAGTAAGACCGATGCCCATGACTACGCCTACGTCTCTGTGTGTGGTTAAAAAGTCCCATCACATTTACATTGTTACACTGTGGACTGGAAAGATTTCCAACACTATCGACATTGTCATTACATCCATAGGGAAAGGCTGTCCCTAGCTTTCTAATCCAAAATTCTTCTCGTTGTCTACGGAAAGGTGTACTCAGTGATGGACTGTTTGTGTGGTGGTAAATCTATTCTGGAATTCTAACTTTCATTGACAAAAAAGAATGATCAGGTAAATTGAAATGTTTGTATAAAAGTTGCTGACCCCCATTATTTCTCTGAAATCTATGACCTGATGTTCTTTTATTGAATGATCCCTTGGTTTCACCAACATAAAGAAGTCCACAAAGATAACATTCTATTCCGTAGACAACATTACAAGATTTGCAGTTCAGATTTTCCCAAGTTTTGGTACAGAAGCTCTGTCCAGTAAGATTACTGGTGAAAGAAGTGTTAGTTATCAAAATGTCACAGGTTTTACAGTTTTTCGCAGAACATTTTGAAATAGAAGACATGGGATCGGAAAAGGAGTCTTCGAATATATCTCTTATAGAAACTTTACATTCTTTCAATTTTTTGTACGAACTATTGGTATTATACCAAAACTGGAAATCTGAAGACTGTACATATGACATATGTTTAATATCCCTGAGGATTATCCGAGGGGCACCGAATGAACTCCTTGAGTCTGTGTCCGTTATAGACTCAAAAGAGTGTCGCCTTTTTATACTGGGCGACGCGTCTGCCAGTATCATTTCGTTATTCTGTGTACTCATGAATGAATAGGTACCGAACGACAAGTACCCTCGGAAACAGACTATCCACCAGCAGAGATACATGTTCGGTTGTTAAAATGAAATATATGGAGATAACGAACAGTATTTAAGCTCAAAAGTCCATTAAAAAATATAAAATAGGAGCAGAGCAGACACGGACCTCTAAACATCAGAGGTGGGATCAGGTGCCATGGAGGAGTGAGCATCCCCTGCCGACCGGTCACACCCGCCGTGTGCTCCTTGTCATGATCGGGAAATAACGGAAAAATCCGTCGACAATTCAGTGTGTAAATAATGGCCTAACAATTAGTATGAAAAACGTCAGTCAGCATTTGACTCAATGATCAATTGAATTTGCTGACAAGGTCATTGTATCGACCATAGAACTTACGAAATGATGACTTTAAACGAGACAGCTGATATTCTTGTTTCATCAACTTGTTTGTCAATAATTTACCTCGTTTTAGAAATTGTTTGCTCTTCTTATGAAAAAAAAATTGCGAAGATTTTTTCCTACATATTTCCCTGCAAAACTTTGATTTCCTATCGTAACCCCGGCCTACACCTAGAAGCCATGATTTGTACGTATAAATTTGTAAATTTATACTAGCTGAAAATGCTTCCACATCCGTCTGACTAATCATGGCTTTGCTATATTTGCGAAAAAGATTTGCAAATACTTTTTCTGTTATATTCCTGTGTAAAACTTTGAATCTTTAGTGTGAACCACTCATCCCCAGGGGTCAAGATTTGAACAAATCTGAATCTGTGCTATAATCATGACGATGCTTTCATATAAATAATGGCTTGCTGTTCTTGAGAAGAAGATTCTTTTTTTATATTCATTTCTAAAACTTAAATGGCCTGTGTGACCCCGAACTACCACAGTGGAACATGATTTGAACCAACTTACGTTTTATCTTTTCTGGCTCGGTGGTTCTTGAAAAGAAGATTTTAAAATATGTCATTAAATTTTAACTAATTCTTAATTATTTCCCTTCGAAGAAAGACAATGGCCTTCATTTGGGAAAAAAAAAAAAAAAAAAAAAAAAAAAAAACTTAATTCCCTACATTTAAGGAAGCATTGTACCAAGTTTGGTTGAAATTGGTCCAGAGGTTTGAAGAATATAGAATGTGAAAGGTATACAACAAGGACAGACAACGGAAGAATTTGATCAGAAAAGCCTTCGACTCAAATAAGTTGAAAAAGCTTTTAAATCAAGTTTGAACTTCAAAACTAAATGAAATAGGAAGGGTAAAAGTCTCATGTGAAGTCATGCTTCTAGAAGCCACATCTAAACTTGAATATTCTTTTCTTGAAGTTTGGGTGAGTTACATTTTGAACAAAAATTTAAGGACACAAACCTTATTTTGTATATGCTGATTGCGAAGCTGACAGCAAATATTAATGAAACAGCTAATCCCACTGCAACTGAATCGTGAATCGTACATTTTAACAATATGATTACATATAAAGAATGTATTCATGATATTTTTCACAGGAAATCGGAAAGTTATGATGATATGATAATCGGATGATAATTAATCAATATAGTTTGTGATTAAATAACACAGTTTCAAAATGTTTGAAATTTTATAAGCAGGACTTCATTTCCTATAAAAATTGTGAATTGAAAACCCTTAGGTGATTTATTTTGTTATCTTAGAACAGGAATTTATTTTTATTTAGAAATCTTATCTTCAAAGCTTTATGTCAAATAAAAAACCATATTGGATAATCAGAGTCAACTTACGAAGAACTGTAGTTTGAGAAAACTCAGTATTTGTTTCTCGACTTCCAACGGGATTTTTAGTATCTAAATAATAAAACAACTTTATCAAGCATATGTTTTCCGACAGCGACTCAGAATTTCATTAAGGAGCCCTGTTTTGTGAAATCCCTGACTTTATAAATTTACAAAGTTTGAAAACAAATATTTTGAATAATATTGGAATCTATGCAACACATTTAAACTGGAACACAAAAGGTGGGCAACAATTTCCCTAAAATTCATCTTTTTAAATCTTAACTTTTATGTTTTGTTCTAGGATAAAAAAAATATCTATGTGTTGTATAAAAGATTTCTTTGCCAAAAAGCTTTAAATATAGCCTATCTGATCCCGGCCTGTAAGAGGAGTGGAAATCTAAAATTAGCATTAGAATGTACATGTTAAAAATTGTCATTTAATACAAATGTCAAAAAATGGTACAGGTATAAAAAGGGAAAATCATACAGCTAAAGATTTTTGAATAGATTTTTGAAGATATCTGCAGTTCGTTCAAATATCGTAAAAAACTTTCAATTAGATTTTTTTTTTCATGAGATCAATGTGATAGTCTTTACAATGCTCTTATTTGTTTATTCTATCTGATTCTTTTAAGTATATTTTATGAATTTCATGTTAATGTATGAAAAACTGATACCTGTTGTAGTTTCCAACGGTGCAAGGAACTCAGAATAAAGATTTTCACCTACGAAATAAGCGAGAATGATTTTTAAACTAAAATATGAAGACAAGATCAGTAATCATGCCCAAAGGTCCGAACAAAACAAAAATTGAGAGCAGAACAAACAAGGACCTCTGATAAAATGGAAATTAAGTTAAGCATCAACTGTCAAAGGATCACACCCCCAGTATGCTGTTTGTAATGATTGGTTAAACGAGAAATCTTTACCCAAAATATAAAATATAAATAGCCTAACAATTTGCATGAAAGATGAAAGTCAATATTCGGTTAATGACAGATTTTATTTACAAACAAGGTCATTGTACCAACCATAGAATTTACAGAGTGGTAATTTAACAGAGATTGTTGATTTCTTTGCAAACAAGCTTTATTATAGTCTATCTGACCCCGGCCTGTAGGAGGAGTGGAAATCCAAAATTAGCATTAGAATGTGCGTGTCAAAAATTGTCATTTAATACAAATATTATGATTTGATACAGGCACAAAAAGGGAAAATCATACAGCTAATGATTTTTCTAAAGATATCTGCAGTACGTTCAAATATCGTGAAAAACTTGCAATTAGATTTTTATTAGTCCCCTACTGGTGAAACCGGAGGGGACTATAGGTTTCCTCTGAGTCTGTCCGTCCGTTTGTCTAGCTTTCTGTCTGTCCGTCTATCTAGCTGTCCCTCTGTCTGTCTGTCAGTATGTCCCACTTGGTTTTCCGCACTTTTAAACGCTTGCAGATATTGAGTTGATTTTTGGTACGTAAGTGTATCTTCATGAGTTACAGATCAAGTTTACATTTTGTTCCGCTTCAATGATTTTTGAGGGCATTATGGCATTTTTAATATTTAACGGGAACCAGATTACACTTTCCGGCAGGGGACTGGTATTGCTAATGCAATACTCTTAGAATGCTTGTTCATATTAAGATCAATGTGATAGTCTTTACAATGCTCTTATTTGTTTATTCTACCTGATTCTTTTAAGTACATTGTATAATTTCATATTAATGTATGATAAACTGATATCTGTTGTAGTTTCCAACGGTGCAGGGAACTCAGAATATAGATTTTCACCTACAAAATAAGCGAGAATGGTTTTTAAACTGAAATATGAAGACAATAATCAGTAATCATGCCAAAGATCAGAACAAAATAAGAATTGAGAGCAGAACAAACAAAGACCTCTTATAAAATGGAAAGTTCTCAGTCAAAGGATCATACCCGCAGTGTGCTCCTTGTAATTATTACAAACAAGGTCATTGTATCAAAAATAGAATTTAAGAGAGATTGTTGATACCCCTGTATCATCAATTTGTTAGTCAGAAGCCTTCCTTATTTTAGTGATTGTTCTTACAAGGAACATGCTCTTGATATTGAATTAACTCAATTGATTACATATACACATATGTAGGTAATAATTGTATGTTTTTTGAAAGATGTAGTGTCAAAACTGCAACGTTGTGTGTAAAAACATTGAATAACGTGTGTTAGTCCTTTAAGAAAATTGTTTGCTCACACTGTTGCAGCTTTGAGACTACATCTATAAAATAAAATCATAATTAAAGTCTTATATTTACATTTTTTTATTAACGTCTTGTTTGCAAATGTGATTTATATTTCAAAATCCCTGTATTATTTCATGGGAAAGCTATAATTAATAGAAGAGGCACTCCAATTGCTATACTTCAATGTGAGCGAGAATTTTATTTTTCGCTTATAACTTTGCACTTGCATTGCGCTCAACGATTGCAATCTCAAAATAAAAATCAAAATTTAACCTTTTGACCTAGCCATCCTTGTATGAGGAGTGTATCACCACATTTTGTAAGCAAAACACATGTGAATGTAAATATTGCACAAATCTAAAAAATATAGAATTATTTCGAGTTAAACGGGTTATATCTAATTAACATAGTGAATGAAAATAAATATTTTCATTTGTAAAAACGAAATCAATATCGAATTGAAGATCACAGTAAGAAACTTTTATTCCTTTAGAAGTTTTTATTATTATTATTATTATTATTAATTTCTGGTTAATTAGAATACAAACAGGATCCAGGCCCGTAGAACGCGAGGGGCCAGGCCCCTTCCCCCTTTTTTTCTGAGTATAGTATTTTGCTATAGTAAATTTTCCTTTCTCCTCCACTTTTTGATGTTGCAATGTCGAGCATTGGCAAATTCAAGGATTTGGAAATTATTATTTTTTATCTTGTCGGATAATTTTAGGAAGTCCCCCCTCCCCCCCACTTTGGTAAGTTAAGTTTAGTTCAGTTTTTTTTTCTCTCTTTTTTTATTTTATTATTATTATTATTTTTTTTTTTTTTTGAAGTTGTACACCATCTCTGTGAAATCGTTGCTATGGGCCTGTTGTCTGCTTAAAATGGTAACAAAGAGGCACATTAGTGCACATGAGAATACTAAGAGACTGTCCGAAAATCTGGCCTCCAAAGTCTACATAGATATTGTTGGAAGTCAAGAATCAAGAATTCAGATCTAGAGTATCTGTGTTAAAAATCAGAATGATCTTTTACAAAGTAAGTCTATAGGTTACTAATGGCATTATATCATGATACGAAACCCATTGCCCTGTAAAATTGAAACCGCCGTAAAATGTAACAACAGAAAACATATTGAAATGTTAAATAAATGGTAAATAGACGTATATGCGCAGTGCATTTTGGAAGATGGAATAAGTGAAACCTGTGCAGGTTTAATTAAGGAATGTTTTTAAGTTTTGTGTGAGTAATTGGTATGTAAATCACACAGACCTGTCACGTAGGCATATTTCATGACGCGAACTAGCGCTTCATGAAAAATATGCCTACGTGGAAGTCTGTCTGATTTACACACCAATAATTCACATTAAACTTAAAAACATTCCCTATATTTGCATTTTACATTTTCAAAAGCACCAAAAATATACTCAGTGCTTGAATTATTCACTGCCCTATATTGTTACAGTTTTATTAAAGTATCTGTAGCTTAGTAGCTTATTGTGATGTCATTTTAGCGCGAGTTTCTCCGTGTATATTTCTACTCTTGAGTATACAAGAAAATGGCGTTCAAATCAATTTTACAGTTGGCTTAGTAGAAAAACACAGCAAATGTAAATATAACCAAATGGTACTGTTCGTTTCTTATATGTCATGGATAAAATTTTGAAAAGTAACATTTATGATTAAATGACTTTTCTTGTCATCATCTCTTAGGATAAAGTCCACACGGAAAAGTAGATATTAAATCATATGCAGAAACATAAATTACTGAATTTTTGTATGAAAGATGCGGATTCGATTCTCATTACCTGAAATTTTTCAAATATTAAACAAAGGTATTGACTATTCTTTCATCAAGCGACCAGCATTAGAAGTGAATGTCATGAAATGTCTTTCTTGGGAGTAAATTTTCAGCAGTCCTGTTTCTCATTTATTAATTATCAATTTAAAGTTTTGTACCGTCACGGTAGCTCAGTAGATAGAGCGCTTGCTCCGTGATAGGAGGTTGTGGGGTTCGATCCCCTGCCGCGACTGACCTAAGTCGATAAAAAATAGGTAGCAACTGAAGTGAAAGTTGCGGGTCCTTCAGATGAGACATTAAAAACCGAGGCACCGTGTCAGGCTAGACGTTGGCACGATAAAGACCCCGGCCCTCACTACTCAATGGCCCTGAGTGCTGAAAAAAGGTCTAAATTTTAAGCCCTTCACCGGTATATGGTGACTTCTCTATATGAGTAAAAAATTCTCGAATGGGACGTAAAACAACAATCAATCAATCAATTAAAATTTTTGTGTCAGGTTTGTTTAATATAAATAAAATTAATGAATAAGATCAATTTAACCAATTTTTTTTTTTTTTTTTAAATCTAAATATTGTACTTGTACTAAAAGACTTACAAAGACTAGCATTGTGTTGAATCTCTGGAGGAATAGAAACCTCTTCAGATAAAAGTCTGTTGGCCAAGAAAATTTTATCTTTGACTAGACAGGTGGAGTTTGTTTCGTCATTTTCTTGTATCCTTGATATCACACAATGCCAAAAACGTTGTTTTACTCTACATTTGGATACAATGACAAGAAGTGTGTAAGTATTACACTTGATATACATTTGAATATTAATGCTGATAATTTTAATTACAATTTTGAAAATAAAAACAGCTTTCATGATAAAGCCAAAAATAACCCCAAGTCCTATGAATGTTCAGAAGATTAAAAAAGTCTTTTAAGATTATTACAGAAATAACTATGTACGCAGCTATGTTAAGGCTTCCCGAAGCTTTAAAATCCGCTCAAAACATAATATTTCACTGCGAGGTCGGTTTTGATTTTAATTTATACGTTTTGTCCTTTAGTACTTCCAATTTATACAGAGGGTTCCCTCGGCTTTATATTAACATGTTTGTTATGATATCACATGACTTTGTTGATCACGTGACGGTCATTTATACTTTATTGAAGTGCTTCACATAAATCGCTTCGGCGCAGCTGATTAACACAAATGTTATTAACATTTTGTTATATGAATAAACTCATCGTTTCCTTGTGTCCCCGAAATGTGCTTGGGAAAAGTCCTAGTATTACTTGTGTACAAAATATTTCGTGAGGAATTCAACTTACCTACAAATTTGAGGGTATTTTCCACACAATATCGTAATCTGTATAAAAACAAAGCCATCACACATTTTTCTCAAGCAAGATTCAGTTATAGCACAACCTCTTCTTACAGATTTCCACTAAAAAACTCAGATTAATCCTCATTAATCACCTGCGCCAGACTCTTTTATACACACAAAGTAAATTCTACCTCAAACCACGGGTGTAAAACAGAGTACATTTCAAAAGTAAATTTTTCGTAAGCACTTTGAACCTGCCGAATTTCAATCAAGGGTACGTAAGCGATGTATTTTTAAAATATTCGGACATATAAGACTTAAAAAAACTTTAACGACCCTTGAATTTTGCAAAAGCTATCTTGCATTTTACATGCAATTTGAAATAAAGTGTAAAATTCATGACACTCTCCCCGTCATAACACCTCAGGTTGGCATTGACTTGACGTCATTTTTCATTATGACGTCGTATTTTGGTAGTTCAAAGGAGTGAAGACACAGAGTGCACTGTCATTTTCTACGGGAAGCCTTAACCTACCTGCGTATTTCCATTGCAACCTCCTTTAGTATAAGGATACTTTGATATTCGAATGGAAGAATACCACACATATACAATTAACTATACATGTTAATCGTTTTAACATTTTTGTCATATTAATATGTATTTGGAATTAATACCGGCATGATTCATTTCCTGTTTTATTCCTGAAGACCTTTCCGTAACAAGGGATTGCAAAGTTAATCACCACAAAAGAATTACTCATCACACTGGGATCACCACATGGTGAAAGAATGCCTGAAATAAAAAAAAAAAATTCAATTAGAACGTTTGAAGATATTAAAATATGTTTTCTATTTGCGTCATTTGTCATCATGATGCTAGATCGTCTTTGTTTCTGAAAAAATGGATGTATACATTGGTATACACGTAGTTACTCTTATTTTGGTTATTAATGATGCAAATTGTATATATCAGATCTTTAAATGTCTCAGGAAATTGTAGAATTTTAACAAAATTCAAATATTTCTCCTTCTGCTATCTCCTTTATAAATCTCTACGATTTTTATCAATAAGTGTATTATTAAAAAAAAAGTTATTATCATTTAATTTACTGGTATTTAAAAATGGTTTCCTTTATAACTTTCATTCAGATGTATCTTTTCCTTTTAAATTGCAGGATCCTCAGGTTGTGAAAATCAGTAGTTAAGTAATTAAAAATGCTCACAAAAATGTTTCTAAATTCACAAAGAAATGTGAATTTACCCAAAGTTCCTCATTAAGTAAATCTTATCATACGAGGAAAATTATGAAATCTAAGATATATTTAATGAAAACATGAATGAAGGCACATCTACGCACATTCGTTTTGAATATTTATCAACAATATATTTTAAGATAATATAGTTTCCAAGTATTAGGAGGAAATTGCATGTGTTTATACTTACTAGGTTACGTCTTCTATTTACTTTGTTAATTATACAGTGTAAAAAGCTTGTTCTATCATTACACATACAAGACACCACAAATCACTTGGAATTTCATCTTATGCTAATGAACATTGCTACATGTATCTATGGCTAAGATACAGAGAATTCAAAATCTCTAAACATGACATTGTGTTTTTATTTGGGTAAAAATGTCTAATTTTTTTTTACAATTTTGTTTCTAAGACATCAAAGAACCTTGAATCTTATTGAGATTCATAAAATTAAAATTGTTGCACGAAAAAGATTTCAATTTCAAGCTTCCTTTTAAGTCTTGTAAAGTTAGATAATTATTTAAAGAGTTGTCTTTCCAAGCTGAGGAACGGATAGCCTTAAATTGTAAACTTACACTGAGAGATGGGCATTCCGGTAAACTCTTCTAAAGTACCCTGTATTTGCAGAGCAAATGATCTCCATGTAAACTGGGGACATCGGGATTCATTGATATTCTCAATATTCTCCTTCAAACATGATACTAAGTTATATATATACCTGTAACAAATATGCATGTAACCCATTAATTAATGCAATGATTAAAGCTTGTTTAATTTAAACAGTCTGTGTAGTAAAAAGGGAAATAGTGAAAATGTTTCTTTCTTTATTACAGGTTTAAAATTCTAGTGGATAATTACAATATTCTTTGAAGAATTTCTCTTAAACTATGCAATTAAATCATTGTTATGTTTATCTATTTATTTATTGTTTTGATTTTTTTTTTCTGTTTTTTGTTGTTTTTTTTTTCTTAAATGAAAAAACCTGTACACATTCCTGAATCTCCTTAGACTTTCATCACGAGTGAATAATGTTGTTTTAAATACAGAATTACAACAAAATATTTTCAGTATTACAGCTCAAGAATCTCTGAGAATTTTATTTCATTGTGTCTGAATATGTTTGAATAGAATATGTCTCAATGTAAAATCTGTATCTTTGTGTACGTGTAAATGACACACCATGACTATTCTATTGTTCATAAATAAAAACTTACCCACAGAATCCCCTACCACTGGGGATGCCATATTTACACTGACCAGTTATCATCGAGGCATTAAAATACATATTTAGATACGGCGTTACTGAAAAAAATGCACAAAAAGGATTCTTATATTACTAAACTCAAGTAACTTTTTGGCAATTTTATTTTCCTAGTACAAGTGTACTGACCACAAATATCAACCCCACAGAGTTCCCAGCGGACACCCGAGTCATTGGTGAAACACCATGGCTCTTCTCTGTCGAAATTTCTACAGTAGTTCTCTTGTGCAATGCTAAAAACATCATAACCGTGTTCATGCGGGTTCTGTGCATCCCATCTTTGACACGTTCTACCAGTTTCTGTTACGTTTTTGGTCCCTTGATATAACACCCCAGGTAATCGACAGTCAGTTGAGATAGATTTTGCTATAAATTTTTTAAGAATAAAGCTAAAATAGCACAAAAAGAACTTTATTCAACATGCAACAAGTTTTGATGTTCCCCTTTTTTTTTTTTCATAATAAAATACCCCGGTAACACAAAAGTGTTGATTTTTTTTTTTATGGACATCATTACAAATATACTTGCTTTTTGTACATTTTCTTGCGGTTAATGTTTAGGGTGCTGCATGTACATTTCGGAAAATAAGAGAGTATTCGCTTCCTTGATAAAGATTACTTGCACAATTATTCATTGATGTAAATATCTTTCCAATGCACGTCTGTTACTTGTTTTTAATTTCCCCTGGAAGTACTCAAAATTTTAGCAGAGTGGTTATTATAATCAACATTTATTGATGCTGGTATTTAGTACAGAGTGATATTTTGAATTACAGAAGTGATAAATAATTCATAGGATTACCGTTTTACAGATTCAACATAGATTTTAACACCTGCTTTACTATAAAATATATATTCAATAATATTTCTGAATCAACATTTGAATTGAAGCAAAATAAAAATACAAGAAACAAGTACTGTTATATTTTTCCAATTATATATTGAAAATAAAACAAAATTTACCAATAGTTGCCATTGAAGTACTATCTAAACATAATAGCTAGAATCTGTGTCGCGTTAAATTATTGAAGATGCTTAAGAAGCACTGGGATGAATATTTTAAATGTGAAACAGAAAAGTATTTGGTATTGTGTAGTAAATTGTCAATTAGTTTAAAAAAAAAAATAATTCCTTTCGGCTTGGACCAAAACAAATAAAAGACAAAAACAAGCAACAAATGCATTTTGGTAATGATAAACATCATCATCATCTTCAATAATCCAAATGAACAACAAGAACTAGAAAATAAGCCATGTTATACTAAAAACATAACATTCACGTCTATTCAGCCAAATGTATCTTCGTAAATTGAGAATTTTCAAATCAAATATAACAAAAAAGCCAGACATTTTCTTACAAAGACTTTCCTGTATATTAATGATGTGACCCTTTAAAAATTAAATCAGAACAAGACATTAAATATTAAGATTAAATGTAGAGAAAGCTTATCAACGGGATATGGGATATTATTATATAATAATAACATGTAAAATTACCTGTAACGGAATTAAAAAAGATTCCAGTGAGAAAGCTGAAAATTGTTATTTCATTTTTGTCCATCACAGCTAGAGTTTTTGGAGTATTTCGTTGGATGTTCACATTAAAGCATGCTGTGGCTGAATGTCCCCTCCCATTTCGGACATGTTTTGCACGAGACCTTGACTGATTTTTTATGAGATGAAAACAGTATGTAAACTTTCTGATAATACCAGATTTATTAAAATTTTGGGTGTGTTGAGTTTTTGTGTGATGTACTGTATTTAAGGGGGAAGTGATAAGGCACTGCACTTGATTTTCAAGTAACTTCATCCGAAACAAACTCGCGTGCTTTGCTGAATGGCTCTCTCTCTCTCTCTCTCTCTCTCTCTCTCTCTCTCTGTGTGTGTGTGTGTGTGTGTGTGTGTGTGTGTGTGTGTGCTAAAACGTTTACGGAGAATTGATTTTCATAATTTGAATACTCTCGAAAGGTTCTTTTAAATTCATTCCGCCTATTTGCAGTTGTGCATTTTTAGTAAGAATATTTAACTGTAGTGACACTTTAACTTTTCCAAAAGGAAAATATCTTGATACGCTTATTATTGATATCGGATGTAACTTTCTTTCTATGTATACATTATTATGATAGGAAAAAGGGCGTCTAGTTAATAATCTATTTATTTTTCCAATGTAATAAATATTTTGTAATAAACTGTATATCGGTTTAAGAAACAACTCAAAAATGGCACAAAACTTAAATTCATTTTTTTTAATCTATCTATTGTTGAAAAATAACAAAATAAGATTTTTTTATACAAACATGGTGATTTATCAAATTGATAATTGAAAATTCAATTTTTCTAATAATGATCTTTGGTTCCTCATTTCAAAGTATTTAATACTAATATTTTTTTTAAAAATTTCATTCATACGAACGTTTTCAGGAAATAGTCAAATAGTCTCTTTGATGTGTGAGCCACATGCCTCCAGTATTTTCCCTGTAGATTAAGTGCTGAGGCATTAACTTTCCTCCTATGGGGGCATTTATAAAAACAATGTGTCTTCAGTCAGGCTTATTTTTATAATACGCTTGACATTGATAATCAATGTTGTCATTTACAATCATGCATCTTAAACTTGAACCTTATGAATATTTGAACGGATTAAAATCTGCTCATCAAAGTATGTTGGCATGAATAAAAATTTCAGATGTGTTTTTTTTTTCTTTCTGCCATCACAAGTAACATATTAATGCTCAACAATTATCATTCATTTCAGGAATACGATTCATAACCGGTCGACAGGGAATGCTTACTCATCCTAGGCACCTGATCCCACCCCAATTCATACTGTGTTTTATATTAAAATATAACTAGACTTTCTTGCTCTAGAATTCACTTTCAAAATCGGATCAATGCAAAAGTTACTAGCCGGCATTGCAAGCAATTATGTGCGAATTATCTTTCTTTATTCTTCATATATCAAAGGCCTTTTAAGACATTGGTCACAAATGAATTAAAGCATATGGATGCATAAAGAAAAACACTCTTTCAAGTCTTTGCGGATGACACTTTGTTTAAATGATCTACAGGGTCGGGTGGCGGAGTACTTTTGCGCTACAGAAAGAGAGTGTATTTTTCCCAGTGGGCTAAGTTCCAAGGATCGTAAGTACACTCCGACAGGTCCATGGTATGTTTTAATGAAGTTTTCTTCACCCATCAGATGGAAACTTTGATGTTCATGCATTGAACTCGTCACCATCATATTTAGTTTTTGAACTTTTCATATCACTATATCGTTGATGATCTTATGTGTAATGTGGACTTAATGAAGAGTATTAAGGTAGTTTCCAACGTCGGTTCCACTCAGTTTTGGACAACTGTTGTCAATTCCTTGCAACTCGATTAAAACATTAAAAATTCAATAATTGTTTGTATATATAGCAGTCTTTGACTGAAATCTGAATAAAAGTTTTATAATCCGATAATAAATGGGGGTGCGGTGGTTTCCCTCATTGTAGGAAAAATGTCATGAAATTAATTAGAATTACAGGCTTGACACCTATTTTCGAATTCCAAATGCACCCAGAAACAAGATGCTTTTCCGTATAAATGTCACAACTGTGGAAATCATGGTCATGGAATTAAAGACTGTTGGGTAAAGAATAAGCAAACTAGTGAAAGGGTACAGAAATCGGAGTCTAACGATGAATCAAAAAGTCGCTCAGAGACTCAAACCAGGAACAAAAGCAATAAAGTTGTATCTAATATGCGGTCAAGCAAGGACAATTCAATAAAGAATCTGGCTTATTCATCAAAGCTTTTGAGAATCATGTGCCATGCAATCTGTTGGTTGATACCGGGGCAACCTTGACAATTCTAGCAGACAGACTATACAATGAAATAGAGAAAAAAAAGAAATTGTAGACTAGAACCTGTTTATCAAAGTATACAAGGTGCAGATGGAACACCCCTGAAGGTTCGAGGAAGAGGGGATTTTTCACTTCGAATCGGTGATAGTGAATTTGAATGTCATGCTGTTGTAGCAAATATTAAAGCTGATAGCAATGCAAAAGTTCTTGGACGACGGCGTAGAAAGACAAAATTACACAATATTATCTCACCAAATCTTCTATTATTATCCTACAATTATTTTTTTACAATAAACTCTAAACATTTTATATCTTTTCCTCAAAACTGATGATATCTTGTATGTTTTCGATTTTTCGGAAAATCATTTCACACGTAATATTAGTATGAAAGTAATCTAATATCCCATAAAATTTCTGATGAACAGTTTACAAATCATACGTTTATGAGATCGATATATTCTCGGCATCTTCAAATTTACTTAGCAACATATATTTACAAACTCGTAATATTGCTTATAATTGAAGTCAAATATATTATATTTTGATAGTTAAAACCCCTTAATAGGCATATCATTAAAAAAAATTACATGCTAATTCTATGCAAATGAAATTGAATAAGACCCACATACATGTGCATCTGTTGTTATTTCCTCAAAAATATAGTTGAAGAATTCTCCCCGACATTAAGCAATTCGCATTCAAGGGTTTTTCAATTGTAATTGATACAAAAGCACGATGGCTATTTTCCGCAATGTTTGAAGCAGAGACGTAAGCCTACCTTTTTATGATTTTGATACAGTAGCATTAACAGAACGTTTCTTTCCAATAATTCTTCGTGCATTGAAACTGACACAAGGATATCTAGACTGAACTAAATGTTGTAAAGAGGAGGAAATATGTGAAGTAATTAATCAAATTCACCGTTACTTAGAATGACCCTCTTTTCGAATTCCACTAAATATCCCTGTTTCCCTCCAAGCTATTTGATAAAACTGTTACATGTACACTTTGTATTGTCAAGACTACGATATTGGTAGGTTTTATATCAAAATGTATCAGGTTTCATTTACAAAGGACATTATCGCTTTTTATAATTCTAGAATACTTTCCTTATTACTGAAGAAAAGGATAATTTGTTTTATCATATGATTGAATAATTCTCATCTCTCTGATTGGCTGAGATCCAATAATCTTAGAAAAATACTACCTTATATTGATCTGCATGTGACCTTCCAGGTCAATATATGGAATTATTTCAAGGTCAATATAAGGAATTATTTATTCCACATTGGACCAAAAATAGATAATCATATAATAAAACAGTTATTGCTGTTTTTTTAGGTAAATACGATGATTTAGACACCTTCGAAATGCAATATTCACCTCGCTCTTCGGGTTCGGTGAATATTGTACTCCTCAGGTGTCTAAATCATCGTATTGACCTCAAAAACAGCAATAATTGTATATTATTACCTAAAGCAACTGATTTTGCTATTTTATTAAATATGTAGTATTTGTAACTATTTTCTGTATATTCATTCCTCTTAACTATTTAAGAAACTTCAGTGATCCATTTGACAGTTGGCCAATAGTTTGCTTCTGAACGACGATCCGATCTGTTGGACAGGCAGTGCCCATACACAGAGTATAATATTAGATAATAAAACAGTTATTCAATGTCTGATCAGTCAATAAACCAGAATATTTTCCCTCGGTGCTGATAACAGCTCAGTGTGTTCTTTGCCATCGGCCGTTGGCCTTGGGCAATAGAACACATTGAGCTGTTCCCAGCACACTGTGAAAAATATTCTGGTCTATTGACTGATCAGGTATATAATACATGTAACTGTATACTACAGCTCACAAATATCCATCTGCTTCAAAGTCTTAAATTTCCTAATCAATAGGACATAAATCAAGAAAAAAAAAAGAAAATATATATATATTTCTTATTATAGCTAAGTCTCCCCTTGAGGTCTTTAAGTATGGTTGTGTGTAAGTACGAGGGATGTTTCAGAAATAATAACATTTGGCTGTTTTCACCTACGTTTATTAATCTTTCATCCTTTAATTCATCTCTGCCCTTCACCCTTGGCCTAGATACACGTTTTTGACGATCAGTCCACTTCTGGAAACATTTTTTTTTTCGTGCTCCCCAATAGGGACACCTATTATATACTGATAAATAGCAGAGCTAAGGGCATTTCGTGATTGGTATCTTTTTCCAGACAGGTGGAACTTAAGTTTGGCGAACAGAAAGATGTCGCACAATGCAAAATCTGGAGAAAACGGGTGGTGTGGTAGGACAGTAACCTTTTCAGCCTCCAAATACTCGGTCACAATGTGTGCTTTGTGTGCAGGCGCATTGCCGTGCAAAAGATACTTCATACCCGTTCTAGGGCGACGACTTTCGTAATATCTCTTCAGTTGTTTAATAACAACATTTTGATAGAAGTTACCTGTGACTGTTTTGCCCTTTGGCTCAGGAAAATTTGCATGACAGGGCCCTTATTGCCAAAGAAAATAATATATATAAAACCTCCTTTACGGTTCGTAATCTGGTAGCAGTACTAGGACGTTTTGTATTCTTTGATGTCCAGATTCTGTTAGAACACCTACGTTTTGGTTCAAAATAGTATACCAAGGTCTCATCACTAGTAATTAAATTATCAATAGTCTTTTTTGTATATTCTGGATACAATTTTAATAATTTCTTTGCATTTTCATCACGGACTCTTTTGTTCATTGCTAAGCAAATGAGGTATCCATCTAGCGTTTATCTTTCTAAGCTTTAGATTCTTTTTTCAAA